TTGTGGCGGGCGCCTGTGGTCCCAGCTACTTGGGAGGCTGAGGCAGGAGACTCGCTTGAGCCCAGGAGTTGGAGATTGCTGTGAGTAGTGAAGCCACAGCACTCTACCCAGGGGGACAGCTTGAGGCTCTGTCTCAAAAAAAAATAAATAAAAATAAAAATAAAGTTGATTTACAACTACCATAATGGAAGTTAAGCTTAAGATGCTCTGTTATCTATTCTCTCTCTTCCTAGCTGAAAGAAAAGATAATGTTAACGCATACTCGCTTAAATTCGCTGATGAAGATTCTGGAGGAAGTGACTCTTAATCAGTCTAAGCCAGAAAACTGATCCAGAACCAAGGCTCAAGTATCAGCTTCAGGCTTCATTGCTGTCTTCAATAACAGGTGCTGTCTTCAATAACTTCTTGAAAACGATTGGCTTAAAGAATGAGCAGGGGTGTAGTTAATTATGTTTACTGCTAGACTGATTTTTTTCCAACTGGTTTGTGAAGCTGTTTTTAGATTAGAAATGAAGGAGTTTTCTGTCCAGGTTTCATAGCTATTTGCCTTAAGAACTTAATTTAGGTCTCGGTGCCTGTGGCTCAAGTGGCTAAGGCGCCAGCCACATACACCTAAGGTGGCGGGTTCAAATCCAGCCTGGGCCCACCAAACAACAATGGTGGCTGCAACCAAAAAAAATAGCCAGGCCTTGTGGGGGGCACCTGTGGTCTCAGCTACTTGGGAGGCGGAGGCAGGAGACTTGCTTGAGCCCAGGAGTTGGAGGTTGCTGTGAGCTGTGATGCCACCTTACTCTACACAGGGGGACAGCTTAAGTCTGTCTCAAAAAAAAAAAAAAAAGAACTTAATTTAGCTTATCAATTTCATAATACTTAATCTCTAACACATCTTTACTACAAATTTAGGAATTAGGATACGATGTCATGTGTGTTTTCTTATCTAAAGTTGGTTTGTCTGAAAATAGAGATGGGTTTGATGTTGACTACTCATAATCCTCTATGGACAATTGTTATGAATACCAAAAAATGTTTCTTTTTATGTAAAATGGAGATACATAATACTCTGTAGGTAAAGCAAATTGACTGGATAATGTATAATTTATCTCTTTTCTATTGTAAACTGAGCTTAAGAAGGCAATAATG